TTAATTATATATAAAAAATTTATATTTTAATATAAATTGGTGGGGAATGGAGATTTCCTTCCCCATGGAGAATGGAGACGAGGGGCAAAATTTGCCCAAAGACGAGAACATGAAGGGACTTCTCAACCCCGCAAGGGCCCCATTGCCATCCCTATTGCTTAGGAGGTATAGCCCTACTTTCTCAAGCAAACTAATGCCATTTTTCTCAGTTGCTTATCTTCTTCTTTTCATTTTACATATTTTGTGCTTGGAAATTGGAATAAATCAAGACATTTATGTTTCGTTTCTTAATGGATTATATGCATTGTCTCCACGTAATATTGTTTCTTTTTTTTTTTTATCCTGATTTGGAAAATCTCATTTTCCATGTTTTAACCTTCTCTTTCCGCACCTTGTAACTTTTTTAGTTGCTTTTTAATTGTATAAATGGTGGCGCAATACATCATTCTCCATTAATTTCAATAAAATTAATTAATTCCCTAAGTGCAATTATTTTATCAAGAAAATAATTATTTTATAGAATCAATCAAACAAAATTAATTCATTGTTATTAGGGAGTATTTTAGTTGTTTGAGTTTCAATTTTTTTAATATTAAAAGTTTCAAGTTCAGATTGTGAGATAAGTAAGGAGCGATGTAAAAACAAAAAGTGATATCTCTTGTTTAAATTAATTGTGATGTAATTGATAGTTAATAATTATTATTATTTATAATTCAAATAATAAAATCAATTCAATTAGAGTCAATAATTGATCATTGTTTCTCAAAATATAAAACAAACACCCAGTGCGACCATCTATGCATTAGGGGGATGGACATCAAGCTAGCTTTTACTGGGCTGAGTGTATTGCAGACAGGCCCCAGATTAACTCAGTCAAGCCCAAGATCAAGTCTAGTTAATGATTTTGTACCCAAACAGAAGAGGCTTAGATTGGTTGAAAACTGAAGTCCATTTACATATTAATATAACAATCATTTGATCCACCAATAATTTTTCAGAATATTGATTAAAATTAAAATTTTTGAAGGTAGAACTATAATTTTTTAAAGAGTTAATAACTAATATGCACAATT